ATATCTTAAATTAAGTCCAAGCTAATGAATTTTATATAGAAGACGTGATACTTTATAAATTGAAAGATATGCATGCAGACTATGCAAGATCACAAGTGAATAAAAGATTCATAGTTAGATACTGTATATTTATGAGGAAATCTAATAACATGGATGAGCACAAAATAATCATACAATTCGATCATGACAAATAATGACAATTTGTTGATGATCATTGAATATGAAAATGATGAAAGATTTGATGAAGAATACGAAGATGGAGGATCTAGACACCTTGAGATTTGTGTTGAATAAAAATGTCCTTTTGTTGGGCATGTTGGTCCACAATTGATCAAAGGGTTGAGGATCTAGAAACCTTGTCTCTAAGATTATTGATGGGTCATTATATCCATAGGGTATTGAAGAGATGGATAAAGCCTTGAGGCTTTGAGATTTATACATCTATATATCCAAATCTAGTTGTTAGATTCATGTTGATGACTTTAAGTTGGTGTTGGGGATGATCTGATTTAGACGGTCAGATTCTTATTGAAGCAATGGGATTAATGTTCCTTTTCTTATGCATGAATGTAGGGTTATCACAAATATTGAGGCGATCTGTTGATGTAGATTTAAAAGGACCAATGCCTTACCTTTCCACCATTACTCAAAGATGATGGAAGTATGAATATTGGTCCCTCTTGATTGAATGATGGGATTAATTTTGAGATAATAAGTTTTTATTGATTCATTAAGTTTTATGAGCAGTCAATGGAGAGCACAATTGTTCTTGAGAAGTGCTTGTGTCCCTGATGATATATATGTAAGAAACATGCTCAATTAAAAATACTTAAAGATGGTATAAGTCCATGAGTTTATTAACATCTTTAGAATGATAAATGTACTCAAAGAAATGAGAAATTAGCATTGAAAAGGGAGAAAGGGTTCATAAAATGTAAACTATCAGATGATGACAACTAATACCATCAATTTTTAGTCACGACACTAAATGATTGCTGCCACATTTGTTTCTTGGCATAATCTATGATAAAGGCAATCAATGGAGATCAGTCTCATGATTATCAAATAATTTTGCACTTGTTCTACAAAATCTGTCAAACTATTCACATTGTGAACTGGAATATATATATATGGTAATTCTATTTTCTGTGGATGTCATTTCGACTACAAAATTTCAAAATGTAATCAGTAAGTCATTATCTTACAATTAATCTGAACCAAGTGGAAGCACAAGGAATACAACGAATTGCACAGCATGTAATCAGTATGTCTTTATCTTATAATTTCACTTCTTTTTGAGATATAGACGATGACAAGTGTAATCAGTTAAGCATCACTATTTTCTTTCATTTGCTTCATATTTTCATTTAATTTTGAGAATTCTGCTACCAACCATGTGTCACAGCTCAAACAACAAGATTGTATATTTCAATCTAATTTGATTTTTATTTTCCCTATTTTTAATACTGTCTAGTAATTTTTGAAATAACCAATGATACATTAAATTTCTGTTGGTGGGTTGGGGCATGGGCATTATTCAGAATTGAAGAGCAGTTTCCTCTCATCATTAGGTGCAACTCTTATTTATTTTGCATATAACCCATTCTTTATGTTGTGTTCAGCAGTTATCATACGGATTTAGAGAATGGATGATGTAGACAAGGGATATAGGGGACCCTATATTTCTTGAACACAAAAGACACACAAGAAGAAAACTGACAAAATGAGAAGAACTTAAAACAAACTTTGTTAAATAAACTCAAACGACCCAAAACTTGACAAACACAACAAAAGATGCTAGGAGATTTTAAAGAAATAAAGAAACTTAAAAAGACGCTATCCTCAGACAACCGTCAGAGCGGGTTCCTCACATGCATCGAATTTGTAGGTTAAATAAGTAGTGCATAGAACTAGCAAACCGATGGTCCACCACTGCAAGATTGGCCCAATTCTTCAATAGATGCTTCAAATCGACTCTGATACGACACCCTAAAGTTGCTTTACTTTGAGAAGAAGGATACAGATGGAGTGGCACTTGCGGAGAGACGAAAGAGGTTAGAAGCCCGAGAAGAAAGGGTGGAAAGAGCCCGCAGGATTTCCGGAGGGGATGAGAAACGAAGGTTGGAAAGAGCCCGCAGGATTTCCGAATAAACCCGCAGGTTAATAGCAAATATGCTCACAAATATCAACTCTCTTCTTCATAACAACATTTCCAATTTATAGGCAAAGAAGAGGAATGCCAAAAGCCACATCATAATTGTTTACAAGCTCCCAAGCATTTTAGATCATAGGATTCCCAAATGTCCCTTTAGAAATCAGCCCAGGAGTTCACGGAAATCATCCCTTCATTAATCAGAACAGGAACCTCCAAAAGCTCTTTTCGGAAAATCAACCCAGCAGCTCACGGAACCAAGGCACCAGCAAACAGGCGGAACTTTCAAAGCAGCACAGTAACATTCCATTCGGAAATCAGCCCCATATTAATTCTGAAGGAATAGATCAAGAAACATTGGCACCAAGGAGCCATAAAGCAACAAAACCACATCAGAATCCAAAGCAGCAAAGCATCGGGAAAAACAACACAAGACTGGCTGAATTCCCAAAGGAAAATTAATAAACTTTCCATTGAATTCTCAGCATAGAATTCAGCCCTCATTAAATACAAGCCACGGAATCCAAGAGACAAGAAGAAAAGGGAAGGGGAAGGGACAAGGCCACTCCAAAGTAAACTTCATAATGATGTACCTTTTTGGATTTAATGAGCTACTAAACTTCAGCTCAAGCAACTTAGGGAACAAGCTCAATACCGAATGCTCCAAAACAGCCAACCCGTGAACCACCAGCAGCCAAGGACCCAATCGAGCCAGCAAACCAAAGGGTACCAAGCCATATGCACTACCTACCATGATCATTGATGCTTTCCCATCATTGGATAGCTAAAAAAAAGAAAAGAAAAACAAAATATAACTATTGTTCAAACAAAATAAAAAGTACATAAAATCCTTTGATAGCATCAATTCTCCCCTGGTGGAAAATTCTCAGCTCCTGATGAGAACGTAATCAGCAACTCGTTCATAAAGCTCCAATTTTTTCTTTTTTAGATCAAACACATCAATCCAGGTACAGTCAGTCAATGGCCGACGTGCTCCATTTGACCAAAAACTTTTTGTGCTCTCCATGCCTTGTTTTGAATAAACCTTCACGTCAACAACGTCTTCGATTTGATCTTCAGACTTTACCAAAGGAGCAGAGAGTGGTAAAGTTTCAATATCTACAAAATCGTCAGAATCTCCTTCATACAAAGACAGGTTAGAAACATTAAAAACAGGTGAAGTGCCAACAGTATCTGGTAAATCTAGCAAATAGGCCATTAGCACCTAATTTTTTAATCACACGAATGGACCAAATTTCTTTCGCTTAACTTTTTAAAAGTGCGAAACAGGAAGCCTTTTGGCGACAAAGTAAGCCATCACTAAGCACCATTCATTGAAATTTGCTTCTTTTCGATGTTTAATCAGCCTCAGTCTTATATTTAGCCGTAACCTTTCTTAAGTTTTTCAAAAAACCTGTTGTTGGACAGTTTTTATTGATCAAATGTTTCAAAAGCCTCAGCACCTAGTTTTCTTAGGAAGAGATAAAGAATTTCTATCCAGAATGTGAGGAATAGGTTGCCCATAAATAATTTCAAAAGGAGTTTTGCCAGTAGAACGATTAACAGAATTATTATATGCAAACTCAGCTTGAGGCAACACTAAATCCCATTGAGATGGTTTTTTCTCCAGCAAGGGCATCTTAATAAAATTTCCCAAGCTTCGATTCTACTACCTCAGTCTGCCAATCGGTTTGAGGATGATAGGCCACTGCTAAATTGAAGAGTAGTCCCAAGTTTTGCCCACAGAGTTCTCCAAAAATGACTTAAAAATCTAGTGTCACGATCAGAAAGTAAAAGTTCGAGGAATACCATGCAAACGAACAACTTTCTTTAAAAAACAAATCAGCATATTGAGAAGCGTCAGAAGTTTTCTTGGCAAGGAATTAAAATTGTCCATTTTACTGGAATCGATCTACTACCACAAAAACAGAGTCATATTTTCGAAAAGTAACTGGTAAGCCTAAAACAATAGGAAAGTTGGGGGGCAGGTGGGATTGGGTGGTGCAATTATTTGAAATTGCTAAGCACTTGTACCTCTTTTTTAGGTGTTATCCATTGTTCAGTTTTCATATATAACTTGCTTTCTGTTTCAGTTAAGTAGTCTCCATGTGGAATTATAGGACATATGCAATGCTAAAAACATTAGAGTGCCACATTACTGTAGTTGAAGTGTGAGGGAGGATAGTTTACTCTAAAGACTGAATTGGCTCTGCAGAAATTCAACTGGCCTGATTCTGTTGAAACCCCATAACTGGGCATGGTTCTCAACCATCTTTTTAGATTCCTAGGTCTTATTTCATCATGTTTGAGATTTTGTTTTTTAATGTTTCGATAGTTAGTTTGCACTTTCGTTTGTACCCTGATGCGCTATTAAGAACTTCAGGCAGACCTCCCAAACTTCCATATACACACAAACGGAATCTGTTGTTCTTTTAGGTCTTGAACTTTCTTTTAATGTGTTTGTGCAGATAAGGCAAAACTGATGAAGCTCTTACGTGGCTGCTCCAAGCTGTTTTATGGTCAAAACGTTAACAAGAAGTTTCGACCAAGGATCTTAATTCAGCTTTGATGATTCTGTCCGTAAAGAGCACCTAGAGGATCTCTTGCAGTCAAAGCTGTTGAGATGGTATCAGCTTCAGTATTTCTGGGAACTGTTTCTTAGCAGCCATAGTGAAGTTTATGCTTCTTCAAGAATGGATGGAATGAAAACTATCTGCCGTTCTCTTATCTTACAAGGGATTTCTATGAATGGCTTGCTGCGGCGACAAAAACAGTTATGTTGTTTAACGAGTCATTAGCATTGTTTTGATTCTGCACCTCCAGGATTCTTCTTAGCAGGAAGTGTGTTTTGCCGTCTGTAGTATCTGCACTTTCTGTTTACTTTCTGAGCACTGCTTCCAAGTGGAACGGGTACATATAGCTTCTCTCTGTATTTTAAATTTCTATTTATTTGGTGGCACAAGTTGTTGAACTGTCATTTGTTATTATGAATACGCTTATCGATAAATTCAAGGGAGATGTGTTATTGTGTTTTCTTGATACTTTTAGATGGAGTATATTTTTATTTGATGAACATGAAATGTAAGCTGACATTTAAATAGCTGGTTTCAGCTCAGCAAGAATTTCACTTCATGAGATAACACTTGATACATAATCTATTGAGCCTTCCATTCTGATTAGTGTAATTCAATCTATGCATTATTTTTTAGAATGTTCAGTTTTATTAAAAGTCAAATTCTCGTTTAAATCTAATAAAGAAAGGTCATTCCTAATATTTTCTAACCAAGTCTTTTTAGGTCTACCCCTATCTTTCTTAACATAAGTCAAATCTAATACCTCTACTCTCCTAACCGGGTCATCGCAAGGCCGCCGTTTTATGTGACCAAACCATCTAAGGCGACTTTCTCTAATCTTATCTTCTACTGGAGCTACTCCAACCTTTTCACGTATATGCTCATTTCGTATCCTATCTCTAAGGGTAAAGCCACTCATCCACCTGAGCATCCTCATCTCTGCCACACTTAACTTAGTATTATGCTTCTCTTTTAATGGCCAACATTCGGCACCATAAAGCATTGCAGGCCTCACTGCTATCTTATAGAATTTTCCCTTAAGTTTAAGGGGTATATTTCTATCACATAACAAGCCCGATGCATTCTTCCACTTCAACCATCCAACTTGAATTCTGCTGATAATATCCCCATCTATTTCACCATCACTCTGAACAATAGATCCAAGATATCTAAAACGTGATGACTTGATTGCCCAAAGTCACAATCCCTTCACTAGGTCTATTACTACTAAAATTACACTCCATATATTCCGTTTTAGATCTACTCAAGCGAAATCCTTTAGACTCTAAGGTTCACCTCCATAATTCAAGTTTACCTTCAACTCCCTCTCTAGTCTTATCAACAAGAAGAATATCATCAACAAAAAGCATACACCAAGGTACATCCTCTTGCAAATGTCTAGTGAGAACATCCATGACTAAAGCAAAAAGATATGGGCTTAAGGCTGATCCTTAATGTAACCCAACCGAAATAGGGAAATACTTGGTCAATCCACCTTGTGTTTGAACACAAGTAATAGCTCCTGCATATATATCTTTAATGATTTGAATATAAAGCATTATTGACTCCTTTCTTTTCAAGAACTCTCCATAGCACTTCTCTTGGAACTTTATCATATGCTTTTTCTAAATCAATAAATATCATATGTAGATCCTCCTTATTTTCTCTATATTTCTCCATCAAACCTCTTAATAAATGTATGGCTTATGTTCAATTTGAAGTGAGAAAATTATTTGTCTTTTTCCTTTTAATTTTGTTGCCAAGCTAACATGCATATTCTGCAATCCAAAGTTGATCAGTGTCTTTTAAAATCTTTTAGATGGAAATGTCCCCTGAATTATAATATTGAATCTCTTTTTGTGTCGTATTCGTTTACTAATAACTTCACTAAACGTTCTCATCTTCTTTGCGTTGTCTGACTTCCCTGATTATTCAACAACCTACCGTGTCCTTCTGGCCTTTTTTGAAATTCTGTGAGGCATTAAAGTCTATTTTCTGATGAAGGCTTTAGGTTCACAAGGAGTCCTGCAGCTTTATGTAATTAATAGACAATATTAGAATATTAAGGGATTTTGTTTGTTCTGCTGAAAAAACAATGCAAGTAAAATGAACGCTCTGAAAAATACATACAATGTATTGAAAATATTTTTTGATTTGTTTGTTGGAATACACCACAAATATAGGATTTTTTTTCTTTGGTTTGAAGTAAAGTTAATGCATCGTAAAAGTTGACGGTGATGGCGATTGCAAGCGGTTAGTGGCAATTGCCGGTGGTGTTAGTGATAGGTGGGTGCTAGCCAAGGGTGGCCAGCAGTGGGCAATGATGGCTAAGGCTAGTATCGCTTTACACTAGTTGTTTATTTAGAATTTATCAAATCAGTCAACTTCCAACAAAAACAACAACATCAAGCCTTTATCCCACTTGTGGGGTCGGCTACATGAGTCCTTTTTTTATTGTGTTCTGTTAAGAGTCAAATTCTCATTTAAATCTAGTAAAGAAAGGTCATTTCTAATATTTTCTAACCAATTTTTTTAGGTCTGCCTCCTCTTTCTTAACATAAGCCAAATCTAATACATCTACTCTCCTAACCAGGTCATCGGAAGGCCACCGATGTGACCAAACCATCTAAGACGACTCTTTCTAATCTTATCTTTCACTAGAGCTACTCCAACATGTTCCTATATCTGCTCGTTTCGTATCCTCACAGCTTTTCCATACATTATTTTCTTTAAAGCCTCTATTTTATTAATGTGATGATGAAAACAAAAATCTTTGTTTTCATTTTAGAGTACTAAGGTCACTAAACCCAAAAATATTCTCACAATCTTCATTGAAAAGTTTAGCAAAATATTTCATTCATGTTTGTTGAATATCCTCTTCTAATCAAAGTATTTTTTGATCTTCATCCTTAATGCACTCCACTTGAACTAAATTCTTACTAATCATTTTGTTTGACTAATATATATATATATATATTTAACTCTCTTTAATATCTAATGTATTATATAAATAATTAAAAGATAAAATTTTTGCATCGTATATTGCTTTTTTTGACTCCTCACGGGCCTTTATATCTTTCCCAATTATCAAGAGTTTTTACATCTAAACTAATTTTATAACAAAACTTCTTATTTTTTTATCTTTTATCGGACATTTTGATTTCACTAGTAACTATTTTTACTACTATGAGCTTTTCCCTTTGATACTCTAAGCAGATCTTTTACAATATTATTAATATCACTAATTATTTTTTCTCACATAACATTATCATTCTCATGCTAAAACAAAATCTTAATATCTAGAAACTTACTCTCAAAAATATTTTTGTTAATATTTTTTAAAAAATTCATCTAACCTTAGCATCAACAATAATATTTAAAATTATAATTCTATCTCCCATTTTATTAATTTTGATAATATTATACTTCAAACTCTTATCTATAATCACAACTACATCATTTTTAGTACGATTTCTACCTAATACCATAGTTTAAATTCTAAATTATCAAATCTCCTTAGCCTTCTCTCCATCCCATTTAGTTTCCTGAATGCATAAAATATTAATTCTATTAATTTATATTTATGATAACATATATTCCAAGTTATTATCCTAATTCTAGTTTCATGGACTAGCTTCTTTGCCCACATCTGTGCATAATATGGAAACCCTTGGTTATTTAACACTACATCTGGCCATCGGTGCAATGACCCTTTTATAGTTCTTACTGTATTCAGGTCATATAACTCATCGCTTTTAGAGAACGCCCTAGCATTAACATAATGTTTTAAATGATTCATATCATGATTATTCGTTAAATTTTATGTTGACTATCAAAATGCTGACTATCGACTAACTAATGTAATCCTCCATTTTTCTCATCCAATACTTGGGATTTGACTACAACAGGGTTACCAAAAGGTTTCTATCAACCTAAAAATCTACTATAAACAAGCATATATATATTTTACTTATATAATAAATAAATGAATAATAAATATCTTATAATTAACATTACAAGACTTATTTTGTAATAAAATATTATATGCATGAATAATATTTATTTTATTCAATCAAGACAATGCGCATGAGAGTAAATCTTGCTAGAATTCGAATCTTTTTTAAAATTAAGTTGTGCAAGAATTAATCACTAGAAATCTATCTACATCATCTATTATTTCATTATTAATATTAAAAGGAATCTACATAAGGCATAATTGAATGTGAAAGCTATGACTAACAATCTACTAAGTATGGAAGGAATCTGCTGTTAGTATCAAGGATAACACCCATAATAAAAAATAGCATGTTTATCCTTTAATAAATAAAAGTTACCAATTTGAAAGTGGTTGTGTGGAACTCCAAATTCTGTTGAAATCTGAAGACAACACCAGGTGAAATCAACTTGAAGGCCCTACACAATACAAATTTTCAATCGTTTACACATATATGCAGGAGTCGAAAATCAATAACTATTAGCTAATATATGTGCAATTTGGTCAACGACTCAACATTGGTTACTCAATAGTCAACATTGGTTAATTATCATTCTTATGAAATTAATGTCTAAAATCTTGAATTTGATCATATAATTGACCTTAGATAGATGATTAAGAATAATTTAATCACTTGACATACCTACCCCAAAGTAGTGAGAAGGAATAAAGGCATAGGTAGCAAAACATCAAGGAGAATGCAGTAAAATTTTTGCAAGAATAAGGACAATAAATGGATTGTAGTGATGTTGAAAGAAGAAGTTGGAGGAATTGAAGGAGTTAAAGACTTTCCCTACGCAATATCTTGCTGCCTCATTTTAAACTCGAAGAGGACAAAGAAGTCGACAAAGGGCTGCAGTGTCACTTGTGATTGCAATCAAGTGAGAGAATTGTGGTTGAGATGGCTCTCTGCATTGAAGGAGTCGACAAAGGACATGTGGATGACAGGATAACTTGTGGCTACCTCACAATTGAGAAAAAAATATTGGTTAGCAGTAGGGAGGGAGAGGAGGATCTCGGAAATGGAGAGTGAGCAATGTCTTAGCTATCAGTCCCTCATGAGTAAGGCTAGAGAAGAGCAGGATCTTTGCATCTCAATCACCCAGAGTGAAGGTGGTGAGATCGCGAAATTGATTGCAGAAGAGCAAGGTAGAATGGTGCGAGTAGCTTGAGTTGGGAAAAAGGGTAGTTGGTGGTAGTCTGACACTAGGTGGTTCAGTTTTTTTAAACCAATATATTTTAATCATTATCTCCCCAATTATTTTCTTTCAAGAAATCAGAGTAGTCACTCATGCTCACTGAACTATATCTCTCAGCATAAAAATTTAGCACATTACTTATTTGGTATTTCAACCATTCCCTTTTTAACAAGAAATCAGTGAAATTCAGTTAGCTTTTCGACATATCATTATTGAAATATGGCATATCCATCTTCTTGATCTGGTTATAATGCTAGAACTATGAGTTGGGTAAAACATCATCTCAGGGTGAATACTCACACCTGTGAAATCATGGATCACAAGGGCTTGACCCTAATATTTTTCAAGAATTTTGGGAAATTACTCGATCGATCATGTCACAAATATTTTTGCAAGGATGTTGGCCATCAGAGCTAAGTCAGGACTTTGGCTGCACTCAGAGAGACAATTGCGAAATATTCCAATTTAATATATAGCCACATTGAAATAAGGCGTGGAGTAGTTGGTTAAGGCTGCCTACAAATTTAATAGCCTATTTTTTATGTTCCCAATGTGGTCATGTGAAAATCAATCACCAAATAACGTTAAAGTTGGCTTAACAATTGACATAGGTTGATGCAATCAAAAAATAAGGGGGACACAAAAAGACAACCTTTCTAGATACAAAATAAAGACATAAAATGCTTAAAAGAACACAAATACTAGAAAACACAACTTTATATAAAAAAACTTACAACCATTGACTCTTACAAACTTGACTCAAACAAGACACCCTAAACTTGCTTACTTTGAGAAGAAGGATACAGGTGGGGTGTAAACTTGCGGAGAGACGAAAGAGGTTAGAAGCCAAGACAAAAGGTGCAAAGAGCTCGCAAGATTTCCAGAGGGGATGAGAAGGAGTGGACAAACCTCGCAAGCTTTTCCAATGAAACCCGCAGGTTTTAATTTCCAAAAATCATTCACATAACATTACAACTCTTAAACATCTCATATATATAGGTATGAGAAGGGAATACAAATAGACACATAAATAAATTTCCACAAGAACCCAAACATCACAACCACGTTAATCCCCCCCCCCAATTTCACGGAAAAATAGCCCCCCCCCTCCAATTTCACGGAAAAATAGCCCAGCCAGGGAACCGAGGGAGCAGCCACGGGATCCCAAGAGGCCCGCCAGAACCGAGGCGCCAAAAGCCACGGGAAGAACCCCCAGCTCGGAAAACCAACAGCCACCAAGGAGCCATGCACGGAAAACAGCAGCCCACCGTGGAAGCCAAAGAGCCAAGGCATGGGAAAACAAACCATCTTGGAATTCCAGGCCATTTTGGAATTCCAAGAGACAAACTTTAATTAAGAGATAAAAATTACATTTAATTAAAAGATAACTATGAACTAAAATATTAGCTAATAATGAGCTAACCCTTAGTTCAATAAGTGAACTAAAGACCAATTCATAAATGAGCTAAAATTTCAGCTCAATTTTGATTGAGCTTGTAAACTCGAGGGAAGCCAAAATTGATTTATTTTGGACATGAGTTGACCCTTCCTTTGTCTACATCATAGGTTTTTGATGGTTAAGGTTGTCTACATTAATCCCTCCCAGCTAAATTCTAATATGGAGTTATTTAAAAGAAGGAAGTGCCACATTGAGATTGATAAAATGGAAACTCTAGAGGCAGTGTTCTTTTGCTTCATTTCAAGAAAATTTTCAGTTTGTTAAAGAAGCCATAGTTAATATTCTCAACTTGGTTATGTGAAAAGCAATACAAAAAAAAGGATAAAGCTAGCTTATTAGTATGGAAGGAAATTTTGTAATGGCAAAGTTTTCATCATTACTAGTTTATATAGTTATGGATAGATATTTGATGAGAAAATACAATTGATGTAGGCAGACTGGGAAATAAGAGGACTAGGTTGAAATTAACTTGATTGTAAAATTCCATGCTCATATCATCATTTTGTAGGAATGATCAGCACGATATTTATGCTATTGATGCCAAAATAGTCTGGGCAAGTCTTCCATGAGAATATTTTTTACTTGAATCTTTACTTGCATTTGTGTATTTTTTTCAGCTCAGTTTAATTTTTGACAGAACTTCTATGCAGGAACAGTAAAGGAATATTTGGATGATAACTATGGCACAATTCAATCACTCTGCTCCAAGATCCGTTTCCCTGCTGAAACTAATCCTGCCTGGAGATGGTAAATGATATATATCCTGCATTTTTTTCTCATACTACAATTTCAACTACATTCTATGTGAGTTGTTGAAAGTTATTGCGTTGAGTAAAAAATCTCAGTATCTGTGCATTTGTTGTCTGAAATCTATGATCTCTTTATTTATGTCCTTGGATTTCAACAGGGGATAAGACCTTATGCTTATTAATGTTTAAACTGTAAGAATAGTTCATTATTTTATATATTTTGTTTGAGCTCATCCGTTTTCTTATATAGGTCTTTTGATCAACCATGGAAAGATCCTTCTCTGAATAAATCAGAAATGGAGCTGATGGAGGAAGAGCATGCCTGTCAAAGCCTTCACATCATATTTTCTAATGCCATTGGCGTGGGAAAAGCACAGGGGTTTCCAGCTCTCTGTGTCGAAGATGTGGAGAATCTTGGCTTGTTTCAGTGGGAAAAAGAGGTCTTTGTTGGGTTCAGAAATTTGTAGATACTGCTGGTAATGAACCGGTATGCCATCTGCTGGTTTTGTAACGTATTGTATCATGATACTATTTTGATCAACTTTATTTTGTAACAATCCAATTTTTGTTTTGAGAAAGTTAATAACGTCTCGTGAATATTTTGTGGCATCAGATTAATAATGTCTCATGGCCCTTGTATTTTATTTTATAACCAGAATTACATACTAAAGGTCAATTTAAAGAATTAAATAAGTAGACAAAAAACACTTGATTTTTCTATAAGAAAGCTTCGGATTCTTGCATTTTGTATTTTATAACCAGAATCCCACATTTAAGTTTTTTTAAGTACAAATTACTAAATATTGAAAGACAAATGAGTTAAAAATCTAAGTCCATTAACATAAGCATATAGTTTATTGAAATTCGTTTAGAAAGTAAAGCACACTTAGCTAAGGTTGTGATGTAATGGATTCGTTTTGTTCTTAGCATAGGTGATGCATATAAACTAGATTGAAAAGCCAGATAAGGAGAACGATGGGCAAAACTATAACCAAACTCGATTCAAATAGCAGCAATCATCTGTGACATCAAAAACCGACGGATAAAACGAGAAGAGAGATCAAAAGAAACAAAAGAAATATAAAAAGACGCTATCCTCAGAACAACCGATAGAACGGTTTCCTCATATGCATCGAAATGTAGGTTAAGTAAAGTATGTGCTTAGGGCTAGCAAACCGATGGTCCACCACAGCAAGATAGTTCAAACGTCCAACCAAACTCCTTCAGCAAATGCTCCCAAATCAGCCAACAAACACCTCCAAAGCTAAAAAAAAAGGATACAAATGGAGTGGAACTTGCGTAGAGAAGAAAGAGGTAGGAAGCCCAGACGAAATAGAGGAGAAGAAGAAGTGGACAAAGCTCTCAAGCTTTTCCTAGAAAAAGAAAACCCTTAGGTTTTTTAAGAGACTAAGCTCAACCAAATTCAACAACCTTTGCCTTCAAAAATAATCTACTATATATAGGCAAGAGAGGGGAACTAAACAGCCATAACACCTCCAAATAAGCCAATTAGATTTAGGGAAATGAAAGGTCAACAGCCACTACATCAGCCCCAAACGGCACAACAAAACAGAGAAGAGAAATACAGGAACCAAGCAAGAAATCCACGGAACCAAGCAAGAAATCCACGGAACCAAGCAGACTGCCGTGGAACCGAGCAGACAGCCACGGAACCAAGCAGACAGCCGCGGGCAGCAAACCGCGGAACCAAGCAACCAGCCACGGGAACCAAAGGGGCAAAGGCACGGGAAATCACTCAGCACAGGAAAATGAGAAGACAAAGGGGTGGAGAAGAGGCAAGTTCACTCCAAATTGAATCCATGAATTAAAGCATACCTTTTTGGAATAATGAGCTAGGAAGCTAAATAAATCTCCCAATAATTGAACTAAACTTCAACTCAACATTAATGAGCTAGCAACTTAGAAAATAAATCTCAACTCCAATAAACCACCACCTCCCATCATCATCTTCAGCTCAAACCGAGAACCATAAGCCAACCCGAGAACCAGCAACAGCCCAAAGGACCAATCAAGCTAGCAAACCAAAGGCCTACCAAAGCCCAAGCACAACCTACCATGATCATTGGATGCCTTCCATCATTGGATAGCTAAAAAAAAATATAAAACTAAATAAAATACTAATGTTAAATATTTAAAAATGAAAATACATAAATTATGAATGCATCAATAGGGATGTGAAAATGCTTCAAAGTGAACTAGGAAGAATAAGGTATTAATAAATCAAACTTTGAATTGATAGTTTGACCACTCATTTTGACGTTTAAAGGAGGTTTAATGTGAAATTTTTTAATAAAAAGGCCTGAAGTAAGGAAAGAGTTTTTTGTAAGTCAAAGATGATTTAGAGAGTAGCATGGGTAGAGTGTTGATAGATCTCCCACATGGTGAACAAAATTTTGTGGCATCTGTGCTTTTATTCATTTTGCTCTTCATGCCCATTCTTCTAAGCTATCTCCTTCACTTCTCGCTTTTTTTCCTCTACTTCTCATCCCCTTCTTCCACCTTCATATTCCTCCTCCATCTAGAGGTAAGGAAGCTCTTCTTTTTTTATTTGGTGTTGACTCTATAAAGCTGCTACTCCTTATTTAGCGCACAATGTTGTTGGAGGTTTAGACCTAGAGGAATTCTATGCATTGCATCCAACATCGTTGGTCTTATATCCCTTAACTATTAATGTGTTGCATTCCTCATTCTCCCCCTTCTCGACTTCTACTGAGAAGCATAGATTTTCCTTAAAAGTTGCCTTCAATTTGATTTCTCATTGATGAAATATTTTTCATTCACATTTGAAAAGAGATAAACAACATTGCCGTTGCCGGGTCCCAAGTCCTGGATAAGAAAAGTGGAGGGTTGGAGAGAAGGCTAAGAAGATTGATAGTTTAGGATTTAAACTAGGGTATTCTGGTAAGAGTTGTTCTAAAAATAGTGTAGGTGTAATTATAGATAAAAATTTAAAGGATAATGTTGTAAAAATAATAGAATTGGAGATAGAATTATAGCTTTAAAGATTATTGTTGATGCTAAGATTATTAATATTATAAGTACTTATGCTCTTCAAGTAGGTTTAGATGTGAGTTCAAAATTAAAATTTTGGTATGACTTAGAAGAATTAATACGAAAGATACCTCTTCAATAAAAACATTTTTTTTGGAAGAGATTTAAATGAACATGTTAGCAGAGAGGTAGATGATTTTAAAAACATTTATGATAGCTATGGTTTTGTAGTGACTAATGAAGGTGGTAAGATCATATTAGACTTTTCTTTAGCTTATGATTTTGTAATTGCTAATACTTTATTAGAAAAAGAGTTGAGCATTTCATCACTTATAAGAATGGATATAGTAAAACTCAGATTAGTTATTTTCTTATAATAAAAATATATCATTTGGATTTCAAAGATTGTAAAGTTAATCCAAGTGAAAGTTTATGTATCAAATATTGCTTATTAGTTTTGGATTTTAAGATGAAGGGGAAGAAATAAAAAATAAAGTAAAATGTTATTCTAGGATTAGATGAGAATATTTAAAGAATATTAACAAAAATATTTTTGAGAGTAAGATACTAAATCTTAATATTTTATCTGTGCATGAGGAAGCTAATGTTATGTGGAAATAAGTAGCTAATAATATTAAAAATATTGCAAAAGATGTGCTTGGAGTATCAAAGAAAAAAACTCATAATAGTAAAAATAGTTAGTAGTGGAATCAAAATGTGCAAGAAAAGATAAAAAAAAAAAATTTGTTATAAAAATTAGTTTAGATGTAAAAATTTTAATTATTGGGAAATATATAAATGGTCTGTAAGGAATTTAAGAAAGCAATATGCGATGCAAAGATTATAGCTTTTATATAATAGATTAGATACTAATGAGGGTGAAAGATATATATATATATATATATATATATAAGGTAGCCAAACATAGAGATAAGAGTAGTAAGGATTTAATTCAATTGAAGTGTATTAAGGATGAAGATCAAAAAGTGCTTTTATTGGAAGATGACATTCAACAAAGGTGATTGAGATATCTTTATAAACTTTTCAGTGAAGATTACGAGAATGTGATTTGTTTTAGTGACCTTAGCACCCTAAATGAATAAAGATTTTTGTTTTTATTGGCGTATTAGTAAAATCGAAATTAAAAAGGCTTTAAAGAAAATGAATTGTGGAAAAACTATGGATTTGATGATATTCTAATAGAGGTGTGAAAATGTTTAGAAGATCAAGAACTTTCTTGGCTTACTTAACTTTTAATGTTATTTTGAAGACTAAAATGATGTCAGATTAGTGAAGAATGAGTGTGTTGATTCTTATTTTTAAGAATAAAGGTGATGCACAAGATTGTGCAAATTATAGAGGAATTAGGTTAATGCGTCATACTTTAAAACTATGTGAGAGAGTTATGGAGCATAGGTTGCGACGCAATACTAATGTTTCTTAATATCAAATTAGATTCATGTCTTGTAGGTCAACTATGGAAGCTATACATTAATTGAGAGGTTTGATTGAGAAGTATAGAGATAATGAGGAGGATTTATGCATGATATTCATTGATTTAGAGAAAACATATGATAAAGTTCATAAGTGCTATGGAGAGTTCTTGAAAAGAAAGAGGCTAATAATGCTTATATTCAAGTCATTAATAATATGTATGTAGGAGCTATTACTTGTGTTCAAACTCAAGATGGTTTGACCAAGTAATTCCTATTTCTATTGGATTACATCAAGGATCAACCTCAAGCCCATATCGTTTTTGCTTTAGTCATGGATGTTCTCACTAGACATTTGCAAGAGGCGATACCTTGGTGTATGCTTTTTATTGATGATATTCTTCTTGTTGATAAGACTAGAGGGAGTAGAAGGTAAACTTGAATTATGGAGGTCTACTAGGGGTGTCAATTCGGGTCAACGGGTCGGGTTCGGGTCGAACCCGGAACTGACCCGGCACTGTTCGGGTCAACCCGAACCCGACCCTTTTTTAAAAACGGGTCAGGTTTCTGGACCCGAACCCGACCCGATTCGGGTCCGGGTCAACCCGACCCGACACGAATGACCCGGGATTGACCCAAAAATGCTAATTTTCGGGTAAAAAATCGGGTCAATCTCGGGTTTTCGGGTCAAAATCGGGTAAAAAACGGGTCAATCGGGTTTTCAGGTCAAAAATGATTTTTCGTGTCACTTTCGTGTCGCTTTCGGGTTGGCGGGTCAACCCGAACCCGACCCGATTTTTAAAACGGGTTGATTTCATGAACCTGAACCCGACCCGTTTCGGGTTTGGGTTGACCCGAACCCGGATTTTTCCTGGTCGGGTTCGGGTCGTGTTTCGTGTCGTGTCAAAAATTGACACCCCTAAGGTCTACCATAGACTCTAAAGGTTTTCATTTGAGTAGATCTAAAAATGAATACATGGTGTATAGTTTTAGTAGTAATAGATCTAGTGGAGGGTTTGTGGCTTTGGGTGATCAAGTCATTAATAAGAGTACACATTTTAGATATCTTGGATTTATTATTCAGAGTGGTTGTGAAATAGATTGGGATATTATTAGCAGAATTCAAGTTGGATGGTTGAAGTGGAGGAATACATCAAGCTTGTGTGACAGAAAAGACCCCTTCAAACTTAAGGAAAAATTCTATAAGATGATAGTGAGACCTTCAATGCCTTATGGTGCAGAATGCTGACCATTAAAAGAGAAGCATAATATTAAGTTAAGTATTGCAGACATGAGGATGCTCGGGTGGATGAGTGGCTTTACTCTTAGAGATAGGATACGAAATGAGCATATAAGTGAAAAGGTTGGAGTGGCTCCAGTTGAAAATAAGATTAGAGAGAGTCGCCTTAGATGGTTTGGTCACATAAAACGTCGGCCTTAAGATGACCCGGTTAGTAAAGTAGATGTATTAGGTTTGACTTGTGTTAAGAAAGGTAAATGTAGACCTAAAAAGTCTTGGTTAGGAAATATTAGAAATGACCTTTCTTTTTTAGATTTAAATGAGATTTTGACTATTAACATGAACAATGGAGAAAAAGGATTCATGTAGCTGACCGCAAATAGTGGGATAAAGATTTGATGTTGTGGTTTATTGTGTTTGTTTGGATCATGTGTGTTCTACTATACTTCCGTAGTTTTGGTCATATTTGGATGGATCTTACAAGGGTATGATAAAATCTGTAATTTGATGAAATTTGATTTAATTGAGCACGCATGCTTATGATGAAACAATTGATGATGATTATAATAATAATTATTATCATAATGATGTAAATTCAAGTGATTATGCTTGTTTGATTGACCCGAGAAGTGGTTTTAGTTTTAAGAGGATCTGTGAGGTTTCATAACTCCTAGCAAATTCAGATATGAATTTTTTTTTTTTGACCATGTAAATCAGTTGTCGCCTCACTTCTCTAACTATCTTTACTATTCCCTTTTATAAAACCATTCCTTTTGTATTTGACACTTAAAGCATCAACCTTCTTGCAACTTGTTTTTGTAGATTCCAAAAGTTTGGTCTAATAAATGAAAACATTCTTCAATCTATCCAATGCTTTTATTGGATTGATTTTGGTGGATTTGATTATCCATAGTTGGTGTGGCACATGATCATGGGAATATTTAGCTAGGATAGCTAATTAATGTTAGTAAGAGTGGGCTGAAGAAACTTATTTATAAGGTCTTATTGAGGATTATTTTTTGTTTTGTTTATTAGGATGGTTTGTAGTTATGTTGGTTGTATCATTGTGAGAAAATGATTAAAATGATAATTGGATTTTATATGGGGGACCATTTTAATCTTCAGACTTTTTAATATATCCAATTTGATACCTACTTGAAAACTTACAATTTTGTCATACCATTAAAATTTCTATATAATTGGACATGACTTTACATGTATGGTGAGCTTTGAGTTTATATCCTTCCAAATATGTTAATACTTAATATATTATAAATTTTTTAAACTGTAATACAAGCCCTAAGTTAATTTTTTTTCATGTGTACGAGAGCAGTTGTGGCACAACGAGAGTTCCAATAAGAGGTCTGATCAATGAAGAATCATTGAGGTTGCAGAGAAAGGAGGCCAGCTATATATTTAGCTTTTGGCCAACAAAGGACAGAGGATGTTGGTAAGTATTGCACTTTTTTTTTTTTAAATTTTAAGGTAGATGTTGGTTCTTTGTCAATCAGCCTAAATGGTCAGGGCAATGTAGAGTATGAAGAGGGGTTAGGAATGATGGCAGAAAATCGACGACAAAAAGTGCACGAGAGCATCAATTGGGAAGACGTAAATTGGGAAAAATTTGCATGCACTTTAGGTTAAGTTTTCTAATTATGATTATTTTAATATTTGAAAAATAGTTGATATTATTTTGTCGTAAATTTATTTATTGTTATAAAGTTTGCAATATTTTATGCATTAATTTCATCAGAGTTCTTAAACATGATATGGAAATGAGGTGGTTAGAAATGGAGTAAGAGATACTGGGAATATTACTGATTGATTATATGTAGTTTTTGGATTGACAATCAAATTTCTCACAACTCTTTGGTGGTTTGATTGGGATTGTTGATGTAGAAACAAAAAAGGATAGGATGTGGAGATAAATAGGAGTGATGGTGATGGATGATGATGATGATGAAGATGATGACTATGAGTACGATGGATCAGATAATTATGAGGGATTGCATGATAGTGATTATGAGATTCAAAAGAATGACGAATTATTTAAAGGCAATATGGATCATTATGTTGAATATGCAGGTACTGAAGATTTAGGCAAGCAGAAGATTGGTGTATCCAATGAAAGTTTTTAAAATTTTGAAGATAAAATATTGTAATTTTGATTGTATGAACTCTTGCCATGATGCAAATGCTCATTAAAGTGATAAAGTTAATAGGGTGAAGTGATCAATCTTAAAACCCTTGGACAAAGTTGGAGAATCTTAATTGAACTTTTTATGCTCTTAAGCATTAAGCATTTTAAGAAGTTGTACAATATTGGTCAACTCTGAGGGGAAAATCAATTGAATTTGCAAAAAATGTTAAAAGGAAAATGCAAGGTCATCTGTAGGATCCTAACTTTTTGTATTTCATTTATGTTTCCAAGCATGAGGGGAGTGGTTAGTGGCATATTAGATCACTGCATGAGTACACTTGTTTATTGACTTCTCATAATGAGCCTTTTACAAATAAGAAATTTTATTTATAAAAGCAAGGTTAATCCACAGTTGATCTGCAATCAATGGTAAGTTTCAGATAAATTGAAGTTGTGTATGTCCAAGTCACAAACAAAAAATACTGTCCATATGTTTTCCAATTTATTTATTTGTAGGAAGCTCAAAATTGACGTATTGGGTCAACTCCTCCCCAAGCTAATATTGGCAGGAGCCTCGCATACCTAGTTTCCCGTGTACTTTAATGAGGAATTATTTAAAATAAACCAGTGACATATGTTATTCTATTTATTATTTTTAACTTGATAAAATGGAAACTCTAGACAGTTTTATTTGATAAAGCTCAAACAAAACCTACAAGGAAAGCATAGCACAGCAACCGAAGAAACACATCAAGCAATAGAACTTACATCTTAGTACGGTAAACAGTAAATTCATTTTAACATATTACAATGTGAGCTCCGAAAATTTGGCCTCAGCCTCCGCCCACTTGATAAAATGGAAACTCTAGACAGTTTTATTTGATAAAGCTCAAACAAAACCTACAAGGAAAGCATAGCACAGCAACCGAAGAAACACATCAAGCAATAGAACTTACATCTTAGTACGGTAAACAGTAAATTCATTTTAACATATTACAATGTGAGCTCCGAAAATTTGGCCTCAGCCTCCGCCCATGTTTTTTTTTGTGGTGGGGGGGG